GGAGCTATGCAGCGAGTTCTACCAACAAGCTAAACTTCCAAACTCCAGGGTGGTTTTTCTGGCCATAGGGAATTTCTTCATAGAATCCCAGACTGGTTTGGGTTGGAAGGGACCTTAAAGCTCACCCCTTAAAGCTTCAACCCCTGCCATGGGCAGGGACACCTCCCACTAGAGCAGGTTGCTCCAAGCCCCTGTGTCCAACCTGGCCTTGAACACTGCCAGGGATGGGGCAGCCACAGCTTCTCTGGGCACCCTGTGCCAGCGCCTCAGCACCCTCACAGGGAAGAATTGATCCATTCTACTGTAGTAGGTGCTGCCATGTAACAGTGCTGACAAAACCCCTCATCCATGGGAAACAACTGAGTGTCTCCTGCTCCATTTGTGGTTTCCTCTTGTACTAAATCCTAGACTTCAGGGGCTCCACATCATCTTTTTGCTGAGCTCAACAGGATCCTTGCCCATGAGTACAGTCCCCTAGTGCTGAAATGACTGCGTGCCAGGTCACTGCTCTGGACTGGCAGGTACTGGAGAAGAGGATAAATTGACAACTTTCAAGCTAAATGCAACAGTTCTTGACCAACCACACTTGCACAGAGCACGGGATATTCAAACAGAAACAAGGACCAGCAGGTTTAGTACTTGAAAATTTTATTTTCTCAAATGAGCACCAACACATTGTAAATATGACAAACAATACGCCTCCCTCTAATACTGAAGAACTATATACAATGTACAAATACATGAAAAGGTGAAAACCAATTATTTGAAAACAAACAGTTGCATTTATTACTGAAGCAAATGACCTGAAATATGCCAAAAAAAAAAAAAAAATTAAGATCAAAGAAATAAAAGTATACACAATTTGTAAACACAAGAGCATCAACAGACAGGCTGGTATTGGAAATATTGTCCTTTAGTTTTGTCAGTGGGAAAAGCATTCCCATTTCCTTATGAAAAACAAAACAAAGGATACATACAGTTCTTCACTATGAGAATAGCTTATTTGTGGTTGTACCTTACACAATGCCATTCTGCTTGCATTTAAATATGTTGATTTCTTTTTTCTGAATTCGAGACGATTTTGTTTCCCCTCTTCTGCTTATTCTTTTGGAAAAGGATTCTGCAAAACCTACAGCTAAAATAATTATTTCTGAACATTTAATTTCCGAGGCCTCTCACCTGGTGAGCAGAGCTGCTTCCCACTGAGCTGAGCTCCGGGTCTCACCAACCTCTTTACCCAACCGGGTTTTGGGTGTCATCTCTTCATCCAAGAACTGGTTCACACGGAAACATGATGCTCCTCCCGAAACAAGGTAGTGCAGTGAAATGCATGATTAACACACTCTCACATACCAGTCAGAAAAACACAGACAGCGAAGGTTCTCGCTTGATCATCACAAGAACAACAGATTTCATTGCTTTCTTTTTTCCTGGATCTTTTTCAATCATGTGCACCAAACCCAGAGAATTGAGGAGTGTGCAGCAAGAGCTACTCAGCACTGAAACCAGCTCCTTGCTCAGCAAAACACAGTTCAGTAGTTTGTGCTGTTGGTCCACTTTGGGATAAACAAGAGACCCAATGAATTAAAAACAAAGAAAGGGGAGAAGGAGGGAAGTTAAAGACAGAAAGGAAACCAAAATAAACTCCACTTTCCTGCCAGAGAGGTAAACTTTTACTCTAGCCTGTGATGTAGCAGCCTGGTTTAAAGTAAAATAAAAAACCAAACCCCAAACAAACAACAAAACAACAACAACAACAAAAGAATCAAAGAGAAAACCAGGACCCATGTCCAAAGACTTATGTTTTAGTTTATAAACAATGACTACTTAAAAATCTCCACCCTCTGTCCCTGCTGCCTCCAAGCAACTGGCAACAGCAATTCAGAGGTTGCAGCTTATACTCAATCCTGGTTTCTAAGCCTTGATATCTACTTCACTCCAGCCAATACTGGTGCAAGAGAAAATTTCAGGCCCGGATCCTACAAACATCTCCTCCTCAAGAAAGTTGTGCCCAGGCAGAGCCCCACCAGCCTTCATAGGACTTGCTGTGGGAGCACAAGGTGACACAGGGCTCGGGCTGCCCGATGAGAAAAGGTGTTCCAGCATGGAACTCCAGACACCGGAGCATTCCCCAGGCACCTGCAGCTACCTCCCATCCCACATATCA